TACCTTAGGAAAGATATTGAGTTGTTGGAAAGGGTTCAGAGAAGGATTAATAAAATGGTGCCTGATATGGAGGGGGTTGTCATACAAGGAGAGGTTGAAATCTCTCAAACTGTTTTCTATTGTAAAAAGAAGAGTTAGGGAAGATTTGATTGAGGTGATTAAGATTGTAAAGGGAATTGATAGTGTTGATGCATCATCTTTTTTCATATTTAACAGTGAGAATAGTAGGAATAGGGGACACAAATATACATTTTTGCAAGATAGGAGTCATATTCAGCTAAGACAGTTTTATTTTCTAACAGGGTTGCCCTTTGGAATGGGTTGCCTTCAGATGTTGTGGAAGCAGTAAAGTTAAGTGAGTTTAAAAGAAAGCTTGATAAGTATATGAATGATAAGAGCTGGCTTTAATATTTTTTAAAATTTATTTATTGATAGTTTTAGTTTAGAGCAGCGTTCCCAAACTTTTTTGGCCACTGAACACTTTTCAGTTGAGAAAAAGCTAACGGAACACCAGACATGTGAAATATCAGTGGAGAGTATGTTGCGCGCGCAGCGCCCTCTAGATTTGTATATTATTCATTTATTTATTTAATCAAATTACATATTAATGAATTTTTACATTTTTATGCTTATAATATATTTTAGGTACAAACCTCTCCACTAAGATATTATGTAGAATAGATATGGGAATCTGGTAAATTATTCAACCACGCAAGATTTTTAAAATACTAAAAAATAAATGTGAAACCCAATGTGCTACATATTCTTGAAATTTTTATATAAATATAGGATTACTGCGTGAGTTTAAAACCACAAACAAAACAAGTGTTTTTCTCAATCTCAGGAACCAATAACCACAGGAACACGATTTCAAAAAAATAAAAAAAATAATTCCTTATCCAAGTGGGTCAAAACAAACAATGTTAAAAGGTATTCTAATAAAACTGGGTTATATCAAGTTGACTAATATCCGGTTCTTGTTGGAGCTAGCTTTCAACTCTCTCCATGAGACGTCATCAAGATTAATGAAGAAAACTCTCAACATTCTAAATTGCTTCTAGTAATTTACCACTCTGTCATTTTCACTATATATTTTGTACGCAAAAGTTTTCCCTCTATATCTTATGTGTAGTTTCTCTTCATGGTATTGATCAGTGTATATCACACAAAGAAAGATAGTTCTTTAAGTCGCCACTGCGCGGTGATAGTAGTACATGACTTCTTAATTAAAAAAATAAAAACGAAAATGCTGAGACATTCAAAGAAATACATTTTTCTTTATACATTATGCATCTAACATACTGGTTTAGATAGAAATAAGCGAATCTACTTTTCTTCCTTGCTATAATTTCATTAGTGTCACCCAACTGTTCATAGTAAATAATTTTAAAATTAAAATAAACATTTGTATTCAACTTGATAATACAGTACTACAGTAATGAAAAACGTATCCATACTTTTAGTAATTAGTTAATTAATATTTAGTACAGCATATGGCGAGAGAACATATAACCGGTATCTGTTGATCCTAGTGGTCTTTAAAATATTTTATCAAAGAATTTAATGGTTCTAAACGAATGTTACGTATCATCAACATGGTAGGTAATGGACCTGGACCAACCTTACGAAAATGTTCAACAATTGTAAACAAATGAACAGTTGAATTTTGATAACTTTAGCGTAAAAACTGAAAAATACTCATAATATACTTAATGGACTTGTACAAATCTTTAACAAAACGTTTCAGTGTTACCTTAACATTAAAATAACATAGTGTTTTGTAACTAATGAGACCTATTGGTCCATCTCTTCTGTTCCATTCTCTAAACCAGCGTTTCCCAAACTATGTTCCACGGAACATTGGTATTCCGTCCTAGATTGATGGGTGCTCCGTGAGAAAATCATGATTTTAAATTTGATAAAATATCTAACACTTTTTGTACGATTATAACTTATTATGAAATATTTTCCTGTGTATTAGAATTATAGGAGATATGACAGTTTTTATTAGACAGTAGATCCAGTAACCATAACAAAATGATGGTTTTTATTAGACATAAGATATATTAACTATGACAAAACAATGGTTTTATTAGACAGAAGAGCTGGTAGCATAACAAAACAATTGTCTTTATTAGACATAAGATATATTAACCATGACACAATAATGGTTTTATTAGACAGAAGACCTGGTAGCATAGCAAAATGAGGATTTTATTAGACAGAAGATCTGGTAGTATAGCAAAATGATGATTTTATTAGACGGAAGATCTGGTAGCATAACAAAAAAAGAGATTATTTTTTAGACGATCTAGTGAACATAACAAAACGATACCTAAAAATAAATATGAATCCTAATCTATCATTTGAGTCACAACCTGTCACTGAGTTATACTGACTTAGGGGATTCCACCCCTTAACAGTATTGTTGGATAAGGGCAAATCGAAAGAATAAGATTAGACTTCACGTTGTGGAGTATTGTACGTAAAGTGTTTTGATGTGTCTTTTACTCACGTGGTAATCATATATTTATATGTAGCATTGATGCTATTAATCTTTTTGTTATGCTACCAGATCTTCTGTCTAATAAAACCATCGCCTAGTCATGTTTGTTAGGTCTGCTTGTTAACATATAACATTATTTTATGTTATGGGTATTAGACCTCCTGGTTAACAGAAACTATTATTATGTTATGATTATTAGATCTACTATTAAACATCAAAGATTCCTATTTTATGATTATTAGTCCTCATGGTTAATAAGAACCATGTTTTTTTGTGGTTATTAGATCTACCTGTTAACATAAAACATCGTGTTTTTATAGTTGTTAGACTTCCTGGTTAATAAGAACCATGTTTGTTATGGTTAATTGATCTAGCTGTTAACACAAAACATTGTTTCGTTATGGTTATTGTATTTTCTGGTTAATAAAAATAATCGTTCCGTTGTGTAAAATTTTATATTGAATAGTTCCATCGAGAAAAATTTCGTCATAGGTGAAACTGTAAAATTTAACAAGTACTGGTCTTGTGAAATTATCTATTAATGAAATTATATATATATATATTTGTTTGGTTAATTATTTGATTTTTTCTAGATATATTTGAATGAAATAATATTTATTTCCTTAAGTTACTTTTTAATATATAGAGAGAGACATTTCGACGTAATTGCAACTGTTTGATAACAAATATTAATATTTATAAATAAAGTATAGTTTATAATTGCAAACTTTTGTAAAGCTAATTAGGATAATTTTAATAGCTGGCGCAGTAGGTATTCCGGTTGAATGGAATATAGACTGTTCTAAGAAAAGCGAAAATAGTTGGAAATTTAAAATAGGCTTCGATGAAAGCCAAAAATATTAATTATTTGCCACTTGCAACACATTTTCGTAACATTAGGGCGTACTGGAGTAGAAACAATAATTATGCTATATTTCCTGCTCTTTGTTGCGTATCCAACGAGAGAAGAGGATTTATCAATGGAACGGCACCTAATGTGATATGTATGACAGCAAGGCCTAGCGTTCAAGTGTAGCTTTCCCCAATTTGGAACTCCTGACCTTTGGTAAGACAGCTAGTCAACAGCACCTGCCACCACAAGGAATATGTCTGAACCTTTGAACCGTAAAAAGAAAGTACTTGTCTCTTATATAATGTACCTATAAGTGAAGGTGCGAAGCGTGTTCAACCACATCACGTGTCTAACCCTGATCTTTTTTTCATACGAACAGCCATGCACTCTAACCGCTCGGCCACGCGCGGACTGCTCATCTGAGGCTTAGAATACCTTATTCATTAGACACAAAATGTTTTCAAAGAACCTTAGATAATTATGATTGTAAGCACTGAAACATATCATCTACCAGTCATTTTGGGACTAATGACATGATAACTTCAGACAACCCCTTTCTTCGATCCTGCTTGGGGGGTTGAGGTGACAGTTATTTCTAAAATGAGACTTTAAGCATGTAGTCTATACATCATAAAATAAACATTCACAAGTTATATTAGCACCATAACTTGTATACTTATTTGAGATGACCATCTATGTATGAAATATATTATCAAAAACAAACATGACATAGAAATTATTTATTATTTAATCTTTATTACATTAAGTTATTTCCCTCAAGACAGCCGTTAGGTACATTACACACATATATACACACAAATATTATTATTATATTTTCATATAAGCTGTGTTAAGTTTTACCAGGATGATATAGGTTTGGATCCAGGATGAAAATCAATATTTACCTCCTTATCCAATCGCTTCATATTTTCTCACAATACACCTGAAAAGTTTTCCCACGTGGACATCACTTTCCAATGATTAAGGTAGTAAATATATATTGTCCATATAGAAAAACGAGACCCAAATTGAATAACGGTGAAAAAAATAATAATTAAAAGTTGTCACACTGTGCTGTGAAGTAAGATTTTTTTCAAAAAGTTTAAAACCGACACTGGGCAGTATTCGAGCTTATAACTATGTAGAGTCAAGGGTTCTAATCCCGTCCGAACCCAGTTTTTTTTTTCTATAGGTATTATCCCGTTAATAAACAGTAAATAATTTTATAATAAACTCATTGTTAAAATGTATTTATTTTATTAGCACCTTTTCATCGCAGAGGAAGAATTAACTAGTGAGTTTTAACAATATGTTGTACAAGTACACACTAAACGCTATTTTTTCAGTGCGAGAAATCGAACACGGAACGTCTAAGTATGAAGACACCTTGAAAATTCCATTACCAGATAGAATTGCTATCCCAAAAAACGTTGTCCCGCCAAAGAATATGATTAAAGTTCTAAGGTTTATTTCAGTATACTAGGCTTGAACTTTTGATAAAACTCATATTGGCTTGAGGTGTTTCTAATAAGTCACTGATAACGTTTTACAAGACAATACGAGTGTTATCAAGAAGGTAGATTATGTTAGTTTTATTCTTAGCTGTGACTTTTCAAAAACGCTTGCTTTCATGAGTAAAGTCACGTTACAGTTTTTTTTGTGTAAGTAGACGTTTCTGCATGACTTATGAATTCTTGCTCTTCATTGGTAGCAACACTGTTCAAGGCTCTCATGATTGGTGAATTAATTATAATCTCAGCACCAGACCTGTCTAGAACTGGTCGATTGGAGAGTCTTACATGATTTCTTTCTTCGCCATCAAAATACATTCCACTTAGTGATGGCTGGTGATACGAGTTGACTACGTCAGTACTGTAGAAATCGTTCTCTCTCTGGATGTATTCAGGAGAATGAATAAACTCAGATGTGGAACGTTCCAATATTGGATGTTGCCTGGAGGTTTGGCGGCTTGGCACAGTTGGCACGTCTTCAAGGAATTCAGAGGTCGACCTTTCACCGATACTATGCGATGTTCTATAAGTATAACCAGTGTCAACACTCCATAGCGATTCTCTGTCAGCATGAGCGAAGTCTACGTCCATCTCAGTCATGGAACGAACGTCTAAGTCCTTGACCGATGCTGATCGAGATGTACGTCTTGAACGAACACTTTCTGGAGAATACCTTCCTGGACGGGATGGATCTCCCATAAAACCTTGAACTGGTGGAACGGAGCTTTTGCGACTTCGTGGCTCATTGTCACTCCTCTTTCTGTATCGTGGTGGTCTCACATCCGGTGGAGGCTCGTGATGAGCAGGAGGGTTAAGATACTCAGGAGCTGTTAGAATTCGGATAATTACTTGCCACTTTCTTGGGGTGTACATCATTTCATAACGCTCGTCACGACTAATCCGCACAAACTCTTCAGTCGTGGTGGCCTCCTGAATAAGGGAACGGAATGTAGTATCTGAGCTGACCACAGCCTTCCACTTTTCTTTATCTTCTTCTGTTAGTTCTTGGACGTCCTCTGTTGGTGGAGGATGAAGTACTCGAAATATTATATCCCAGTTTGGAGGTTTTCTATATCCTTCTGTAGGCTCAGAAGGTGGTTTTGAATGCACTTGAACAGGTGGTTCTGTAAGTATTCTCTCACTATCCCTGGGGTTCTCGCTAATTTCAGAGAAAGTATCCAGTGGCTTATATGGGCCTGGCTCTTCTGGAAATGGAGGTTGATAATGACGTATGGTTACATCCCAAGTCGAAGGTGATTTTGCGTGTTGTTCCATTGTATCTTTCTTGTGTCTAGTGACGTGCTCTGTTGCATGGGTTTCGGTAAGAGTAGTAAGGTAAACGTCATCAATATTTTGGACAGTGATTTTTGGAGTATGAGGAGCAGGTACCAGAGCCTTAACTTCAGATGGTTCAATAATTTCGGACACAGAACGTGTTTCTGTGTCTGGTTCCAGACCTGGAATTATTGACTGTCGGGTTCGAGTAGTATCTTCCTGAATGTCAGTGACTCTTTGGGTGTCAAGATAATAATCCGATATGGTCGCCACACTAGTTTTAGGCTTACGAACATATGGCTTGACAGGAGCCTCAGTTTCGATTTCAGAATGAGATCTATTATCATTGTCAGGAATACTACCATAAAGGGATGGGGCATAAGAGGACACAGATGGCGGTCTGCGCACTGACACTGATTCTATCATCTCAGTGTGTGATCTATTGTCATTGTCGGGAATACTACCATATAAAGAAGGGGCATATGACGACAGAGACGGAGGTTTTTGTCTCGTTTTTGTGTATACAGGAGCGTCAACTACGTGTTTTGGTGCAGGGGATTCAAGTTCTTCTTGTGTCATGGTCATTCTGGCATATTTTTCACCCCACATGTCTGTATGTAGATAATCTTCTCGTTCATTGATGGTGGTTAGCAACTGTTGTTTAGCTATTCGTGGTTTAGGTTCTCTACGTGCCACAATCTTTGGCTCGGATTTAATTGCTGTTGGAATGGGGACAGAGGAAACACTCTGAGCTCTCTCTGTGTCCTCAGGATATCCCGATCTTTCACTGACATCATCCGGAATAAAAGCCATGTTTTGCATATCGTAGCCTTCTTTCCGAAAGGTAGAGCTGTCACTAATTAACACACTTCTCTGCACATCGCCATCTTCTACTGAATTGGGAGGAGAAGGTGATTCACTGGGGTAGTCTGAGGGAATGGTTTCGCTTGCCTCACCTGATCCATGATGAGATGACACTGATGGCAGCAAGGCAGCCTCCGACCCAGATGGAGATAAACCTGGCACTCGTGGTATTGTCATTGGTTCGATAACGGGCATAGAGGTGGCGCCACTTAGCCTAGTAATTACACTGCCTGGAGCAGAAGACATGGCCTTCTTCCGGCGCACCACTTTGATATTTCTCTTCTTTAAACAGTAGTAGGCGATGCCAATACCCAGAAGCAAAAGTGTCAAGAATAATAATGCACAGATGATTAACAGTAATTCAATTTCAGAAAGTTTTGGAGAAACAGCGGCGGGAACGATCGGTGCTGCTTCTAACCTATAATTAAAACACAACTTTCACTGTAATTTCTGCTTGATAAACGTGATAGAAAAACAAAACAAAACATGAAATGATTTTCCCGAATCAAAATACTATATTATTTCATAACAATTGCTAAGCAATGCAAAGCCTTAAAATTTAATAAGTACATATATATATATATATATATGAAGCTTACTGAATGTTTGCCTAAATTAGTTTCACATTAACAAGACTTCCTGTGGACCACCGCAAAAATAAAGGTTTTGTTTAAAGGTTCCTTTTTCTAAAAATATAGAGAACAAATGATGGTTGTACAAACCAAAATACAGAGTTACATATATAGAAATAGCTAACATTAATACCCATCTGCAAAACTTCCAAGAAGCTTATTACTTTGTGTGTGATGCAAGTTCTGATAATGCTAATGATAAAGATTTTGTTTCTTTGTTGTTATGGATAAATCTACACAATGAGCTATCTGTGCTGTGCCCATCGCTAAAGGATTTGTTTCTTTGTTGTTATGAAGAAATCCACACAATGGGCTATCTGTGCTGTGCCCATCGATAAAGGATTTGTTTCTTTGTTGTTATGAATAAATCTACACAATGGGCTATCTGTGTTGTGCCCATCGAATGTATCGAAATCCGATTTTTAGCGATATAAACCCTCGACTTATTCCTGAGCCACTAGGAGGGGGCAACATATTACGCTTCATTTCTTTATTTTATTTTTTTTCAAGGAATAAGATACACAATGGGTTATTTGCTTTCTGTCCATCGCGTAGAATTGAGCCCGGGATTTTTTAGGATTGTAAGCCCAACTGAGAGTCTTGGTTTTGGTTTTAGCGTTGCTCTTTACGATTTGTTCAATGGAAACCCTTGCGAACTAGAGAAGCAAATTACGAAGGAAATTAAACTTTGTTTGCATAATTTAAAGTAATGCAATTAAAAAAAGTGTTTGATAATTAAGCCCGAAAAAAATGATGGGCATATTATACTTATGAAGATGATAAACATAATGTTACCATTATTATATACCATTGAATATTGTGCTGTGCCTTACAAGACTCATACGTGTAAAGGAAGTGGTTGGTTTGAATTTCGCGCAAAGCTACACAAGGACTATCTGTCCTTAATTTAGCTGTTTAAGGCAGATAATCATTACCACCCACCGCCAACTTTTGGGCTACACTTTTACCAACGAATAGTGGTAGTGACCGAAATTTCCAGCATGATTGGTATGACGGGGATTCGAACCCGCGATCCTCACATTGCGAGTAGAGCGCTCTAACCACCTGACTAAAAGAAGACCTGAATCTACTGGTAGTAATTAACTGTCAAATAAAAAAATATATAACATTTTGTTTAAAGCGGTAAATAAAGGTTTTTATTAGGATATTTTCATTGTACAGGTGTAAGGCAAAGAATGTTTAGCTAAATATTTAGAAGGTCACCATTTCAGACACATGGAAATGCTATTTCTCGGTAGAAATAAATAGGTGTACTTACGGAGGAGGAACAACAGCTCCAGGCAAAGGGGCTACCGGTGGGGGGTAACGACATATAATCGTCTTTATTTCATCCTCTTCCAGCTCGAGCGATCGATGGAAACGAACGATGATGTTATTGATGAAGACACGAGGAGCCTCCTAGAAAACATACCACGTGTTTAAAAGCAAAGAAACTCACCTGTTTCAGTACTAAATAACTAAAACGTTTAACACACTGTTGCTCAACTAGTAATGGGCGTAGTCGCTGTCCTAGAGCAAATTATTTGATTTTTATTTCAAAATTAAGTTACCAAGTCTCATAGAGTTGAAGAATATCAGACAGTTTTACGAAATATATTATTTTGAAGGTTGCAAGATTAAGTTAACGGCATTCATAGAATGTTATTGTAGGCCTTTTATCTCCAGTTATTGGGCGTCTAATAGGAAATATCCGTCCGATATTACACACACACAGGCATCGAGTTTATTTATCTATTGCATAAAAATTCGTTTTCACGCGCCATGTGAATCAAGTAATAACAATATTATTTAGAAATAAGTAAAAAAATTCTTAATTTTATTTACTTGTTTCCTTATTAAGATGGTGATGGCAATGTTATAATACTGTACTAACTGGGGTTTTAGATGTCATGATGACATTATAATTAGAGTAAAGCAACGTGATATTTGTGTTTTCATGAAATAAACATAACCATAAGAATATTAACCTAGAAAGATATGATTTAATCATTATCAAATCAACAAATAGACACTGAACTGCGTGTTATATTAACTGATTTAAGACCACTAAAGACATTCCGTGATTTAAACATTATAAGTTCAGTTAAAACTGAATGAGATGTAATTGTGATATCACGCTAAAATTGGAACTAGGTTATAAAAAATATCATATAAATTATAGTTTAGTAACAATGAGATGGATTTCAAATGTTGTTATACCAATCAAAATCTTGTAATGACAAGCCCAGTTCTAAATCCTATCAAATAGTTGAAATCCATTACATTTGCTTTGGGCTTCAGATGTTATTTACACCAATCAAAGTCTTGGATTTACAAGTTGACATCTACATCTTATTAAAGCAGTTTAGATTCAGTACAACTGTTTTGGTCCTAAAACATCATACCATTTAAAGTCTAGTATAACGAACTGAATTCTACGTTACTCAAGCAGCCTAGATTTAGTAGATCTTTATTTTTTAAGTTGGTATAAGATTGATTTGAATATTAAATTTTATTATACATTTAATGTACGATAAGCTTGAGTTGGGCTTGAAAGTTTGCTATAGGTGTTTCGAGTCTGCACTAGATAAGTTTTAGCTTTTATCATAACATTTCATGCTTAGTAAGACTTAGTTGTTGTTAATTACAAAGCGACACACTGAGCTGTAAGTGTAATGCCCACCAAGGGTATCGAAACTCGAGTTTTAACGTGGTAAGCCTGCAGACTTACCCCTGAGTCACCGAGGGAGAGGGGGATATTTTGAATTAAATCATAGCATTTAAAGCCTAGGAAGGATGAATTTGATATTAAGTTTTAAACCTAGTTATATACAGTAAAGCTACATTCTATCATACCTGTTTCATGTTGAGTAAGAATAGATAGAGATGGAAATTTGAGTACCATAGTTAAAAGTCTGATAAGGCTGAGTGGTGGTGTAAATTTGGTCATCCCTGCCTTAATCTAGTAAGTGTAAATTGTGTCTTTGATGTTATCGTACCAGTTTGAGCCTAAAAATAAGAAACAGAGCTTGGTCATAAATGTTGTCATTTCAAGTACATGTAATGCAGGATCAGTTGTGAAAGTAACGATGCAGATTTAACTGTACAAAAGCTGGAATTAGTTTATTTCTAATATGGATTAAGTAGGCCTCCAATATTATAACTCAATTTAAAGATGAGAAGGGCTAAATATATGTGACCTTAATTTTTAGAATGGTTTTAAATATAAGGTTGAGCTTAATATAGAACTTTAACATATATTACTGAGATGAGCCTTATATCTCAGTATATTACCTTAGATCTAATATATAGGACTAGATTTAGACCTTTGATCTTATTATGCCAGTTTAGTTTCATAACCTTTATATTATGTTCTTTCATGTAGTCATTCCAGTTTCACCTAGTCAGTCTGAATTGAAATTCAAATGACGTTTGAATCTAGTAAAAGAGAAATTGATCCTTAATTGATATCCTTCCTGCCAAAGTTCAGAAAGGCTGAAACTGACCTCAAAAACGTATCATACGGTTCCATTTAATCTGTTATCTAAGTGATACCAAACTAGACTAAGCCAAGTAAGACCACACTTTAATCCTGGTAAAATTATTTGCTTCCTATGTTTCATCACAGAATTTTAAATGTAGAATGATTGAGATGGACATTAAATACTATTACGCTACTTAAAGCATAATAAGAATGTGTTTGTCCTTACACTTTTGACAAGTTTAATTGTAGAATGATTAAGATGGACATTAAATACTATCGCACTACTTAAAGCATAATAAGAATGTGTTTGTCCTTACACTTTTGACAAGTTTAAGTGTAGAATGATTAAGATGGACATTAACTACTATCGCACTACTTAAAGCATAATAATGATGTGTTTGTCCTTACACTTTTGACAAGTTTAAGTGTAGAATGATTAAGATGGACATTAAATACTATCACACTACTTAAAGCATAATAAGAATGTGTTTGTCCTTAGACTTTGACAAGTTTAAGTGTAGAATGATTAAGATGGACATTAAATACTATCACACTACTTAAAGCATAATAAGGATGTGTTTGTCCTTAGACTTTGACAAGTTTAAGTGTAGTAAGAATGAAATGATACAATGTTATCTAATAAGACTGAGTTTATAAGTAGCGAACCAGCAAAAATATCCAGACTATTGAAATGTTTCTTCGAATCTGTCACATGTGTTAAGTCTCGGGACCTTAAAGTTTATTATATAAATTTAACATAATTCAAACTGAACTGACCTTTAAATTTCAGCACACCTGTTTAACTATAATAGGTCTGACTTAGACCTTAAATGATATAACGCCAATTAAAGTAGGGTTAGGCTAGGTTGGGATCAAATTATATCACAACCTCTTCTGTCTAATACGTTTGAGTATGGCCTAAAGAATTATCACACCAATTAAAGTTGTGTAACGCTGAGTTGGGATCAAATTGATCATAAAAATCTTCTGTCTAGTAAGTTCCAGTATGGCCTTAAATGTTATTATGCCGATTATGTTTCCTAAGACTGGATTTTGTAGCCACTTTAGAAGTTGTGTAATTGGGCCAAGCAAAAAGTCTGTAATATTGGTCTTTAATGTTACCACACAAATGCACCTTTAACGTTTCACGCAATAGTCTATTGTAGCAAAGTGAAGACGACTTTAAACGATACCAAGCTAATTAACCCTCAAATCATCGACTTCTTTTCACAGCGCCCTCTACAAGTAAAATCTACATATTGCATCATATTGATAAATCTTACATTTTTTGCATGCTACAACAACTATATAAAAAAACTGACCAACATATCTGGGTGAAATCACCCATTTCCATATCAAATGTAGAAAACGTCAGTGGATTAATTGTAATACTGACGGTATTCTTTGAATTTTTTGTGTGACTCACATATTATTACGAAACCTGTGACTAAGCAAATCATGGAGCCACAAGCAATTTCGTGCATAAATAATTTAGAAAAATGTTTATAAAACAGCCTGTGGTTTATATGTGCTCAGCAATAAAAATAGACACCACATAGTTACTTTATTTACTCTGTTCCACCCATCATATTATTTGTTTTAAAGGTGTTCAAAGTGTAACAGCTCCACCATCAAAAACTGAATTGGTAGCTTGAAACCACTTTCCCTGCCCCCCAGTGGCACAGTGGTATGTCTGCGGACTTACAACGCTAGAAACCGGGTTTCGATACACGTGGTGGGCAGAGCACAGATAGTCCATTGTGTAGCTTTGTACTTGATTACAAACAAACAAACAAGAGGCAATTTGCATTTATATCTTTGTTTTGAACTTGATTAAGTCCAACTTAACTGTGAATTATCAATATGGTATATATAAGTTGACATCTAACACTCACACACACACAAGGGGGATTTTAGTGAAAAAGGGTAGTACGCTTATAATATGAATAAAATAATAATGTGTGACGTCATACCTGCCTTGTTCCACACCCTTTTAAAGGTATTCTCAGCTCGTAGTAAGTACTTCCGTCTCCGAAGAACTTGCATGGACTTGTTCTGTCGTAATCTGTGTAAGTTACTCCACGAAATGGCTTAGTAAAGTTGATCTTGACAATCATTTCTCCTGATTCACAAGACAGATAAGCTAAAAAAAAAAGAAGAATATGCAAATTTTCAACTTAATTTTTGTATGTAGTTTTTCTACATAAAAAGTGTCTGAATCAATATTCAAATTGCTCTGAAACCAAATGAAAAACAACATTGAAGTTAGAGTATTGGGTACAATTATCGAATCAATCTCACGAGTACCCTCAAATTCAAATTAAACAGTGTTAAGGTCTGACAGAACCAATTGCGCTTAGATCGTCATACTTGGCTAAAATAATCTTCAGTGACGAGTACAGGCCTCCAAGCTTTAATACAGCCTATACATCTGTGGGGTGTACTTCTGATCAGTAGGCGGGCGGCATTATGAGGGAATCTGTCTCTCTGGTCAGTCAGTGCAAAGCCAAGTTCTTTGACGTCGTGTGGTTAGTTAAGAATTTGACGTACACGGTGTCTAAGGAGTTCCAATAAGTTTTCTATATAACTTAGAACACACCTTTTTTTGTAAGCCATTCTATGATCTGTATGGTTTATGTTCAATACAGTCCATTACTAGCCTAGTTGTATGACTCTGGGCATTATCCAAAACAGACAAAGTCTGGTCCAGTTGCACCCACAAACAAGTCACACAATTGGGTCCAGCACTACATCAATATGATCTTAAGGAAGATATCTGTCACTCCAGAGAACGGTTAGATCTGTACGTTCATTCATTTTGGTACTATAGCTGCACCATTACCAAAACAGCCCTATTAAACAGGCCTCTCGTTTATACCTGGTTCTCCAAACACGAACTACATAATGATTGGTCGAAATATGAAACCTTGGCATAGCAGTGAAGGGTACAATTGCGTAATGCCGTCACTACCAATTCGGGTCATATTGACAAACGTTCAAACAAACAGTGGGGACAAATGCGGATACAAAGTTGGACTGATGGAGCATGTTTCTGACTGTTTAGTCACTATCCTTGAAGTCCATATTGACTTCATGAACAGTAGACTGGCTATTCCAAAGGTCATGTTGTATAGATACCGGTGATAACGTAACATTCTAGGCACTTGCCAAAGCTGCTAGTGTAAAAGACGCTTGTCTGGTAGCATGCCCACTATTGTACTGGATATATCGATATCCGATAGCACTAGTCTATGTTAATTCAGTTTCCAATATATGAGCAACTCAGACAATCTGTATCCATCCAAAATATCCACCCGCCACCAACAGGCGCACAATTATTCATAAACGATAGTCATTGTAAACAACTAACCAACAAATAAAATCTGAAGGTGAAAATGAAGGTATTGCCTTTCTAGGGCGGTTAGAAGTTGTAAAATGCGCTGAAACGTCTGGTGATTCTTATAACAGACCAAGTGACATGAACAAGTAATTAAAGACGTATTAAGTTTACAAGTTGCATTCAGACAATGCTAATGTTTTGGCCTTTTAATTTATTGGTGTAATGCAGATAATTTTCAGGAGTGATGATCGTAAAATTAAAATAATATACTTATAATTTTTGCTTTTAAACACTTTAACTTAATACAATGGTAAAAAGTAATCGTATTTTCAAAAGTAATAGAATATATAATGGTTTTATATGCAACTGGTTTCTTATACGATCATTACATATTTGAGTATTAATATTGATAAATATATATATATATATATATAAATAACTAAACAGAAAGCAAGAATTTGACGCTTGTTGTATGTGTAGTTAATTTACAGACTTTTTATAAGAAAGGCGTCTAAGAGATTTTGTAACCGGCACCGAAAAGTCAATCTAATAGAAAGATCAAAATACAGGTTGTGAGACTAAACTAGTCAACTCCACCTCGTGTCTTGTTGGTAAGGATCTCGCTGCTAAACTCGTCCGCCACTGCTGAACGAACCACGCTCTCCACGTGGGTGTCATCTCGTTGCGGCTCCTGCCCACGCAGGGGAGAAGGGGTCAACTAACGAAGTAAAAAAATAGTGAAATTTTAAGATAAAGTTTTAGTTCTGAGTAAACATAAATATGTATATATAAAGTTTTTTATTTTATGCAAGTGCTTACTGAAAGAAGTGTAAATTACAGCTGAAAAAGTTTATTTTAAAATTAAACCTTGATTACAAGGACGAAATGCTCAAGAGAGTAATGAGAATTTGTACGAAAAAAGTGGCATTTGTTAAAAGTTATGCAATATTATTAATGTTTATCATCATAATAAATATTACAATAAATATTATTAATAATTATACAT